CAGACCCGTGTCCCCGGTGTGGAAGGGCAAGCCTAGGTCTCCTACGGGAAAAGGGGGTTACCTCCGAGGCACCCGGCCACGAGTATGCCCGGTAACGCTATCGCTGTGCTGGGGGCAAAAGCACCCCAAAGCCCAAGTGGCCTGCAACGCTTGCCCCCGCCGCCCGCGAAGGGATAGATTTCACTTTCCCACCCTCCTCGTCAATGGTCCCGTTCCAGCAATCATAGTCGGCTTCGCTGCTATTTTACTGAGGAAGAAATACAATATTAAATGATTCTCCTCCCGGAGGCTAGATCTGCAGTGACACCGGAGGAACCTCTGGAACTGAGCTGCAGGGAATCAGCCCACAGAACGCAAAACTGCATTTCAAGGAACTTGTATACATCACCAGGGCGGATCTCAGCAAACACACACCCAGAGCCTCATTCAAAAACAACCAAGCAAAATCACGGGCTGAACCTGGCTGCACTTCCAAGGCAGGTGAGGGCAGACTGCTAAGGGACGTGTCCGAGCTGGAGTGAGCAGAAACTGTGAAGGGTGTTTACCTCTGGCATACAAATTGGAGAAGTCTGTCTCGGTGCGCCGGAACCTGGATTCCTTCTCGCTGTTCTCACACGCCAGTAGGCTCTTGGAGGACTGTTTTTCCTTCAGGGAGCTGACGATCCGGCTCTTGTCTTCCAGGCTATTGGTCCTTTGCAGGAACCCTACATTGTTATTGCAAGGTGCACAGGTCAGAGTTTTCTCACTTCCCAACATGTTTAGAAATACCCAAAGCAGCTCGCTAGACGACGATTCTAAGCAGTGTTGGCTCTGAATCTGACTAACGAGGTCAGGAATAAGAGTATTTATGGGGATTATTTGCCTCCAGGAGGGAGAGCTCAAAATACCATCAACTGCAAAAACGCAGCCATGCAAAAAACCAAATTTTCGTCATTTAGTGCAGTGGTAAATTCTTATTAAGTCGATCAGACAGATTCCACTTCAGTAACCAGCCACTGGAAGAGAGTTCAGGATGAGTCAATGCTATTTCAGCCTGCAGGCGAAGTTTATGGACCTAACAGACAGGGGCAATGATGTATGATTAAAATCAGGGCCACTTTCAGTTCTCATCCTGGTGCTCTCAGACACAAAAGGCAGGAGAAGGAACAGCCATTGCGGAGCAACCGTCCTGAGAGCGCTAGAGCTCTGAGGACACCGGTAGCACCCACCAACACCACCTTCCCGTTGTCCGTACCTACCGACATGTGTCCAGGAGACGCGGATTTTCCACCTGAAAAGATGCTGTGATACTAAGACCGATTACCCCCGAGGTGACAGGAGCTCCACTCTCACCGGAGACGCAGCCCTGGGGCCCAGGATGCGATCACAACTGCTGTCGTATGTGCAGCGGCAAAAATAAATCCCCTCACCCACAGAAATAGGGCGGTGGGAGCCGCGCGGGGCCTGTGGCGAGTAACGAGACCTGACCACTTTAACAAGGCAGGGAGAACATTTAATTTTCAGCATCTGCCCCATTAAACCCATGTCCATTAAAGCATGCATAGTGTCGGGCTTTTCGTTATTAACGAAGTCATAGGATTTTGACCTCCCCGGCTGCAGCGAACGTGCCTGCACGTTTGGAGGAGACAGAACTGCAGCGCCGGCCTCCTTTCTTCTTTCTTTCTTTTCTTTTAAAACAAGTAACAACTGAAAGCAACGCTCGTCGCGGCTGGGGACATTGGCCAGAGAGGACTTCACGGGGAAGGAAACCTACGCCGTAACTCCGTTCACCTTCGTCCTGCGATGCCTCTTCTCTCCAGCACGCTTTGCTTCCCGGCCAAACGCCCCAGCCCTCCGGAGTCCCGACGGCGAATCGGGGTTGCGGGCCCCTGCAGCTGGGGGCCCATGTCCCTGTTCAAAAGGGAGCCTAAATGCATCTCCAGGAGGGCTATTCACAGGCAGGTTTGTCAAGTTCCTTTCAGTGAATGTTCCACATTTTGTCTTTTAATATTGATCCTCTACTAATTAGTTTCTTTCTGTGATGCTTTTAGGAAAACGAGTTACAATAGAAAGAACTCTCTTTGTATATAAGTTAAGAGCAGGCGTCCAGGATCGATGACGTTTTATTTTACTTTTGTTGTTACTGCTTTAACGGCCCTCGCAGTGATCACTAGCTCCTGCAACAGCAAGTGCTGTTCACCTGCGCATGAGGCAGAGCGACTGACAGGGAAGCAGGTGCAGTCTAGACTGAATTCCAGGACTATCAGCTTGCTCCAGGACCTGTGGCTTCATTTGGGTTTCTTTTTCTATTTGTCTTTCTTTTAGTCTCTCGGTGGGGATGCTTACGGGAGAAGTTACGGGAGAAGAGACCACCACAAGCACAGGAGCGCTCCCCGCCGCGCAACTGCTGCTCTTCTTGGCGTGCAGACACGCGTTTCTCGGAGGCTCTGGCGGGAAAGGAGCGCACAGCTCTTCGGTAACCGAGAACGGCTGCAGCTGCCTCTGTTTCGGGGTCAGAAAAGCCGGGACTTCGCTGAAGGGTCTGGGCTAACACGAGGTGCGCCTGCCTCTGTTTCGGGCTCAGAAAGGCCGGGACTTCGCTGAAGGGTCTGGCCTAACCAGAGCCGCGCCACGTAGGCGGCAGTGGCGGCACGCCAGGGCCACGGAGCTCGCCCCTCGCCCGAAAGACTTCACGGCGGTTCTTCCCGCGCGGATGTGCACGCCCGCGAGTGGGGCGTCTCTGGAGACCTGAAGGAAAACTTGCTGCCGTCCGGCATCGGCTCGCTCCGCTGTGGATAACGTGTGTTCGCCCAGGTCCCTCGGCCACAGCAGTACCTCACGGACCTGGAGACTCCGGTAC